AACAAGAAGGAAACTGTCAATTTGAAGAAAACTTTGTAACTGACAGAGTTCAAATAGCCAAGATATATAGGTAATTAAGACACATCTATATCTGTATAGGTGTGTGTTTATGTATATGTACATATATATATCTATGTATAAATATGGTCAAAGGATATAAGTAGTTCATAAGATCGTAGATACTTAGTGCTAGAAGTATTTTATCTGTAGCTACTCCAACCTCTTCATTCTACAGATCAGGAAATTGAAGACCAGAGAGTTTGAGATTTTCTGAGGGTCCCACACAGGTAATAAGTATCAAAAGTAGGATTTGAGCCGAGGTCCTATCACTCCAAATTTGTGGGGTTTTTTTTTCCCAGTTCTTTTTCCAGCATCTATCTTTGCGTAGGCAGTTCATGTACATCCTGAAATGTACATCCAGTTTTCTGGGTGTTAAGTAAAACTTTAAAACTGTTTTAATCTGCATTTCTTTTAATATTAATGATTTGGTTGTTAGTAGTCTGTAATTCTTTTGAGACTTGGTTCTTATTCAACAAGCGTTGCTATGTACTTCCTACAAGAGACAGTGTAATATAGTGCACGGAGAGCTGAATTCAAGAATATCCAGGCTCAAGTCATGCTGGCTTCGTAACCCTGAGCTAATCACTTAAGCTATTAGTGTTTAAGACAATTCTCCAAGACTGGAAAGTTGCATAGAAGATGGTGTCTTGTGTAGTTTCCTCAGCTGGGAGTTCCCTTTACTTAGCACAGTGTGTGGCATATAAGCAGCCCTTAATAAATACTTTTGACTTAACTATCTATGTGCCAGTCACTATGCCAGGTTCTGGGGGTACAATGAAGAAAGGTCTTCTCTGTCTCCCAGGACCATACATTCTTCTAGAATGTGATTTTCTTAGAATCTGTAGCTTCGGGGGCAGCTAGGTGGCACAGTGGATAGAGCACCGGCCCTGAAGTCAGGAGTACCTGAGTTCAAATCCGGCCTCAGACCAAACACTTGACACTTGATAGCTGTGTGACCCTGGGCAAGTCACTTAACACCAATTGCTATAAAAAAAAATCTGTAGCTTCTTTCAAGGCTTAGGTCATAGACCAATTCCTATAGTAAATACTTCCTGCTCCTCCTATTTTTTAGTGCTGTATTCCTCTTCATATTGTCTTACATTATTAATTTTTCTGTTTTATCACATGGTAGAATTGAAGTGTCTTGAAGGGCAGAAGTACTTTTCTTTTTTGTACCAGTATCTAATGCAACACTTGGTTCGTGGGAAGTACTTCATTAGTGTTTGTGGAATTGGATTACTACTAATTAAGGAATATGACTGTCTGAAGAGCACAAGAGTTTCTCCAGTTCTTTCAGTAGGCAAGGATCCATGTTTCATTGATATGAGAGCTCTGCCAAGGCAGACTATAACCCCATCTTTTAACTTTGAAGATATATAGTAGGGAGATACATGAAATTTGAAACAGTTGTGAGCTGATCGTGGTCATCCAGATGTCAGAGAAAAGATTAGAACTTAAGACGCTGACTTTAGCTCCAGTACTTTAGCTACCATACCATGCTACACTTTAAAATGCTGTTCTTTTTTTTTTGTGGCTGTGGAATTTATTTTAATGTCTGGAATTTAAACACTTATGGTTACCTATTAAGAATTCAGTGGACAAAAATTGGTAAATACTTCAATTCAATTACAATGTTAGAATAACCAAGAGTCTGACTCTTGGATGAAATATTTTCATTCCAAGAAGATTTGGGCACCACTAACCATAGGCATCCACTTTGGAGAATTGAATCATCTCTAATACAGTTTATTTAAAGAACGCAAATTAGAATATGTAAAATATTAATAGTAAACTTTAATGCATTACAAAAGTATATCAGACCCTGTTTTCAACTTAATATACACCTTGACTTATTGTTTCAAACAGTTTTTTAAAAATGATCTTTTAAGAAAAAAAGCGCATTTTCTCAAATGAGCTTTCCATTTTTGCAGCATTTATGTTTTTGTCTTTAGTGGCCTGGTTAATTCATGCAAACCTAGTATGATACAGTACTGTACCAGTTTTCAGAGGGGGTGCTGACGTGTCATCAAATAGGCAGTTCATGATACAGAGCTTTGGTGATCTGATTGTCCAGATCCTCTATAACTCATGTTTTGCGAGATAGTTTTGGTGTCTTGTAACTTCTGGTAGTAGTAGCTTCTTATGAGTACCAGATTATTTCTAAACCAACAGATAATACCAATATAGATGTACACATAGTGAAATAGAACTACGATGTATAAGTTCATAACAAACATAGAAATACAGAAAAGAGTGAGAATATAAAACTGAACAAAAATGCCAAAATAAATGTTTATATTCATCACATAGGCTGTGATAATGCTTATTACTTTCTTTAATTGAAATTGATAAGCATAAAATGGAATAAACATAATTGTGATCTGTTGGCCGTCTGTTGATAAGTAAATAATAGCATCAGATGAAATAAAGACCTTATTTTGGTAAAGTAGCAATCAAAATATGGGTCATTTCTATTCATAATGATTTGTGCTCCTAACCTACCTAATTCTTTTTAGAATTCAAAGAATTATAATGCAACTGTGTACCAAAGAATTGGTCACTAGTCAATCAAGTCACTTCTTTCAGAGCACTCTGTTTTGTCCTTTCAGTACAAAATTATTCTTTTTCTCATATTTAAATTATTCAGTTTGTAACTACATTAACATCTAAATATGTAATAGTCATAAATACATTGTTTTGATAGAAAATCCTGTTAATTTATTGGGAAAAAACTAAATAGAAAAGGAAAACATAGAGAAATATACACTTTTATGCAAATACAGTGCTTACCATCTGTTTTTGAGGAGATTACTCATAAGTGCCCTATTTGAGTTGCTAAAAGGACCAGAACAAATGAATAATTTATATTTGTTTCTTGCAATTTCTCACTTAGTTTTTGGAACAGTGTCATAATACTGAAAACTGTATAGATTACTTGTAGCTTTTTGTTAATTGTGATATTTTCCTTTGAATTCTTTGAAAAGATCAAAAAATTCATTAAAGAAATTTCAGTGGAACCCCCAAACTCTTTCAGATTGAAATATTAAGAACATTTATAGAGACATCAGTTTCAAATTATGGTTAAAAAAAAGGCTACAGTAAAAAGACACTAGAAATAATATATTAACATTCCAATATTAGGACATGAATGTTTTAACTGGTATAGTTAGTGAAACCACTGTATTGGATCTCATTGGCTAAAAAAATCAGTCAGCCATCTCTAGTTCTATGGTTCTACAGATATGCTTGACTGAAAAAAAACCTCAACAAAATACTGCTCTGTTTCTTGGCGCTTAAGTAGCTACGGCAAAGTTTGGAAGGTTTCCACTTTTGATTTCAATCTCCCTACTCTGTCTAGGCCCAAACTTTCTGAGTGCAGATATGTGTTCCCCCCCCCCCAATTTTGGTTTTAATTCACTCTGCTTTTACAAATTTTAACTAGCAAAATATTGTCACCCAAGTTTGTTTTAACAGTATGACCTAATAGTATATTTCACCATTGTCTCATCTCCTCATAAAGAATTATTAATAAAAGAGGTTTCATTTTTCCCTTTGTGATTTAGTTATTTAGGTTTTCATTTTTAGTTATTTCTTATTGCTTATTTCTTCAGTTTTCTTTCTATGATGAGCCATTTTAAATCATTAAGTAAATCACTGTCATATGAGCATGTGATATCTTTTCTTTCTATCCATGATATTTACCTAGTCTGTAATCTGCAGAGGAAGATTATGAATTTTTCATTATAGTTGTGTTAGAACCTCAGTAATGATTGTGCATTTTATTATTGTTTCAATCAATCAGATTTCAGCATTTTGCTTAATTAATATACTAATAGGAATTGTCTAAATAGTACATTAGCATGTAACAGTGTAACCATCAAAATAGGTCAGTGGGCCACTAGGTTATTAGGCCAGAAAAAACCCCCAAAACAAAACAACCCATCCCTGAGTTAGTTTTACATCTTGTATCGATGTTATAAAAATAGAATCATTTTACTTTTTTAAAGCCATGTAACATTCCATAGTTTGTTACATATAATTAGCTTTATGCGTGTATATACACATGCGGCATATGTTTATATGTATGTGTGTGTATGTATAGACATACATATATGTAAAATATATAAAATATGTGTGTGTATAGACACATGTGTGTGTGAGTGTGTGAGAAAACATGGTCTCTGTCTTCCACTGTATCCTCCAGGAGCTAACAGTTCTAATTAGTTCACATGGAAAGGTGTTCCCACAGGTTGTATTAGGTGGGCCTGTTGTTATTTTTACATCAGTTGTTATCCTTATATTTGATAACCATTTGGTATCATTAATTCACGTGCGAGGTTCATCTACTTAGATAAATTTGGAAGGTGGTATCAATAATCAAACCCTGTAATGGCAGTTCCTGCTTTGTCAACTTCTTGTTTTCTCCCTGTTGCCTGGCAAAGCTGTGGAGATAGTAAGTACTTGGAGTAAATTGATAGCACATATTTTGAGCCATATTTTCTTACCTTTAAAAAAAAAGAATGTAGAATTAAATTGCAAGATTACCTAAAACTATGGTCTACTTAAGTCTGTTTCTTGGTATTAGAGATTCATGTGATTAAAAAACATTATGGATTTCTTAATTGTTATTTTTAGTTGATCTACAGTAAGCTTAAATTTTTTACTTATGTATAATTATTTGGGTTTTATTTTGTGTTATTTGAGTGGTTTTATTTTTTGTAGAGAAGAAATTACAAATTTTAAATAGTGGTATATAAAATGCCCAGTGTTATAAATGGACTTTTGTCAGTGCATGCTAATCTATGCTTGTGGTACATGCGGGCAGATTCACATTCTGGACATCAGAAAAGTGGTTGTTTTTATTTGGTTTCGTGACAGCTTTTTTTTTTTAAGTTAAATCATTCTCATATTCTTCCTCTTTTTTTTTAACTTAAAAACAGCATTTGGAGATTTGATGACATGCTACAAAGAACACTTTGAGCCTACATTTTCCTGAAGAATTCATTTAAAAGGTCTCAGAAGAACAAGAGGTAAAGAAAGGGCTGCCACAATGACTACAGTGTTCTAGGAAAGTTATATTGATTAACATCTCTTATGAACAGTTAAAGAAACATGTATTAACTATTTTCAGTATCATTCAAAAGCATTTATTAAATACCTCAAATATTCCAGGCATTGTGTTATATGTCAAGGAACTTAACATTCTATGGAAAGTGGGGATGGGGACATGAAGGAATACAACATATAAAGAAAATTAAATACAAAATATAAACAAATACAAGATAAATTCTAGCAGGAGGGAGATAGTAGCAACTGGGGGAATTAATTAACAAGAGCTTCAAGTAGGAACTGGTGTTTGATCTAAATTTTGAAGGAAACTAGGGATTCTAAGAAACAGAAGTGGGGAGGAGGGAGTGTGTTCTAAGTATAACCTGTGCAAAGGAATGGAGATAGGGAATGTAATGTGATGTAATTCTCTCCAGAGAGGACAGAATATCCAGGAGAAGAAGGTGATTAACAGTGTCAGTAGCTGTAAGAGAGGTCAGGAAGGATGAGGCTTGAGAAAAGGCCAGTAGATTTGCCAATTAAGAGATCACTTGTGACTTTGAGAAAGAGCAAATTTTTCTCAAGTGATCAGGTTGAAAGCCAGATTGAAGAGACTTTAAAATTGACTGAGAATAGAGGAAGTGGAGTCACTAATTGTAAATGGCTTTCTAAAGGAGTTTAGCTGAAGAGGGGAAGATAGATATAAGATGATGGGATTATAAGGACAAGTAGTGGGTTTTTGTTGTGTTTTTTTTTAAGGGATGTGAGAGAAATTGACATTTTTGGAAGGAGCCAGTCATAAGGAGAGACTGAAGATAAGAAAGAGATTGGAGATAATAAGAGGGGGAAGGCTGCTGGGAAGGATGGGGAAGGGATGGAATTAAGAATGCATATAGAAGAATTTGCTTTGGCAAGGAGAAGGACCCCATCTTCATAGAGAGTTGGAGTGAAGGAGGAGGTAGTTGGGGAAAATAACTAGAAATGTGAGATGAGAGAGGAAGAAAAGGAATTGTCTAAATACCCCAGCAGAGATGAAAAGGGGTGCCAAACAAATCAGTAATTCAATAAAACCAAAGAGTCAACACCAGTAAACACCTACATCTATTCTAGGACTGCAGAACATGTCTGGAAGCTTGTGGGCATTCTGGTTGGAGGGTCTTTGGGTGGTGGTAGAGATGTTCCAGAAGCTAGGAAGATCTGAAGTAAACAGGGACTAAAACCTGTTGGAACCACAGGAGGAGAAAAAGCCAACTCTGAGGTTCATACCTAAACTAGTCTCAGGGGACAAAGTCAGCTCCAGGTAGGTGACTAAAAAAAGACAGAGGGGCTGAGGTACTGTGGCTGCATTCATCTCCAGGAGGCCTGAAGTCAGGATGATCTGATCGCTGATATCTGGTTGTGTCCTGTTGGGGATATCCCAGGAGACAAAGCCAAATTCTGATAGGAGACAGAGAAGGGGCAGACCAGCAAGTATTTTGAGCCACCAGGGGACCAACGCAGAATCTGGGAATGAGTCAGAAGACGAAGCCTGATCCCAGGCCTGGGGCTCAGATTCCTATGCTAGGCCAAGGCTTTGTAATTAGGGCATAGAGGAGGATCAGGACCGAGTCACCCTATTCTGAATTGCAGTAAGATGACATCAGAATTAAGGCTTCAGTGGGTAATAATGAGGACCAAGCTACCTCATCCAAAAATTCAAGTGGAGTGTGGAAATGACAAAAAGTCCCAGTCTAGCAACTGAAGCTAGAGACATATGCATAGAGATGATAATTGAGTCCATGAGAGCTGCTAAAGTTACCAAGTGGGAGAGAATAGAGACAAATACTATTCCACACATGGAATAGTCAGATGCTGGGCTTATCTATTATAAATAATATCATATGATTCTTAAAAATATACTTTTGTAGTTGTAGTAAGCAAATGAAATAGACTTATTTCTGTATTTGATTTTTTTAGTAGCATCTTCTCAAAATTGTTTGGCAGCAATAGCAGCTTACCATGAGTATTTAGAAAGATAAGTTTTTGTTGAGATTTATATAAGGCCCATGCCATTAATGACTTCTGTTGTCATAAGACAGTAATGTAGTGCTTACTCAGCTGGTGAGTTCTACTACTGGATGACTTTGAGCTCAAATTCCTTACATAAAAAGCTTTTCATTCTTGAAAGTAATTTCATCTTTTATGATAAGTAAATTTTAGATCCTAGTAACTGGAAATAATTTTCCCCCACCCTCAATTTTAAAAAGAATGTTATTTTATCACACTTTTTTTAAGATCAGGGTTTTGTTTTTGTTTTTATTAAGCAAATAAAAGCCTAAAAATATAACTTGTCTTATGTTAGTGGATTTTATATTATTTAAGATTTGTTAAAGTTATATGCAAGGACATGGTAGACTATGGAGACTTAGAATCTTTCTTAATACATGTGGCAGTACTAGATTGATTCTTTAAAAAATTATTTAAACATTTTTATTATGAAAACAAAAACATAAATAAATGTGGATATTTCAGTAGATAAGGAACAGATAAAAGGTTTATATGTGAAATTGTTCACATTAACTCTTAACTGTTAATTATGTAACTTGTTTTTTTAAACATTTATTAATTTTAACATGATAGTAACAAAACTACTTTTTCTGTTTTTTAACTTCTGAGCTTTCATGTGCTTTTTCCTGTATTTTTTTAATATTTCATTGATGCTTTTTTGTTCACTTCTTTTTTTTGCATCACTGTTGCTATTCACTAAATCTTCCCCCCCTTTACTCTCTCTCCCCACCAAAGCCTTCCCTTGTTACCTATAAGAATATCGAAATAAAACAAATCAGCACATTGTTATATCTGTAAATGTATGTCAGATGTGATTACTGTACTTTCTTGTGAAATGTGTTCTTGGATAGCATCCTAAAAGAAGGTTCCTTTAACACATTCCTTTCATCACTTTTCTTGGTTAACTTTCAGTTGATACTATCTTGGGGAATATAGGGTAATCCTTTTTATTGAGACTGACAGCTGGGCCCTTTCGCTTTTTATCCTATTTGCTGTTGCCTTGCACACATAAACAACCAGTTCAAAATGTAAAGAAAACCACTACAGTATTAGAATCTCTGGATAAAAGCTATGTAGCAGATAGAGCACAGATGGAAATCAGAGGATCTGGGTTTAAATTTTGTCGTTTACTACTCGTGTGACCATGGTTAGGTCCCTTTAAATCATCAAGCATTTATTAAGCATTTATGTGTCAGGCATGGTGCCAAGTGCAGGAGATACAGCTATAACAGTAAAACAGTCTCTGTCATCAGGGAAGTTATATTTTAAGGAGGAAGATAACATATACATCTAAAGCTGTATTCAACATAAATAAAAGTAGACAAAAGGTAACCTTAGAAGGGAAGGTGTTACCCAACAGTGAGTGAGCTCCAGAAAGGCCTCCTGCTGAAGGTGCTACTTGAGCTGAGTCTTGAGGAAAACCAGGGATTCCGAGTGGTGGAGGTGAGGAAGGAGAGCATTCCAGGCATGAGGGACAGCCACTGCAAAGGCACGGAGACAGACATGGAGTGTCATGTGTGAGAAACAAAAATCTGGCCAGTAGCAGCTGATTTGTAGAATGCATAGAGGGCAGTAATAGGCAAAAAGGTGAGAAAAGTAGGAAGAAGCCAAATTGTGAAGAGTTTTCAATGTAATACTGAGTGGATGGTATTTGATTCTGGAGGTTTTAGGGGGCCACTGAAGTTTATTGAGTAGAGGATGACATGGTCAGATAGGTACATTAGGAAGATAATTTGACAGCTCAGTGGAGACAGGACTAGAATGGGGAGATAAAGAACAGGACTATTATAATAGGCCAGGCAAGAAATGATGAGGGTTTGAACAAGAGTGGTGGCTATGTGAATGAAAAGAAAGAGGCATGCAAGAGATACTGTGGAAGTAGAAAGACATGGCAAGATTTTGGTGCAAGATATAGCAACTGATTGGATAATGTAGGTAATGTGAGGAGTCAAGTATGATACTGAGATTGAGAATCCACGTGACTAACACGATGGTAATGCCCTTGAGAGTAATAAGGAAATTCTGAAGAGAGGAGTAGGTTTGGGAGACAAGATAATGAATTTTATTTTGGACACGTTTAGTTTGAGGCACCTACCAGACATCCAGTTAGAAATGTCTTAATATGTAGCTTATGATGAGAGTCTGGAGCTCAGGAGAGAAACTAGGGCTAGAAATATAGTTTTGTGCATCTTATGATCTATATAGAGATGTTAATTGAGTCCACAGGAGCTGATGAACTGAAACAGAAAAGAAAAGAGGGCTCAGGACAAAGCATTGGGGTATACCCACAGTTACAGGACACAACATGGGTAAAGATCCAGTGAAAGATTAAGGAGAGGTCAGAAAGGTAGAAAGAACCAGCAGAAAGCAGGGCCATGAAAACCTAGAAAAGAGTTAGAAGAGAGTGGTCCACAGTGTCAGATGCTACAGTGAGGTCAAGAAGGATGACAACTGAGAAAATGCTGTTTTGTTTGGCAATTAAGAAATCATTGGTACTTTTTAAGAGAACAGTTTGAGTGATAACTTAAGCGAGATTGCACAAGGTTTAGAAGAAAGTGAGAAGAGAGGAAGTAGTAGCAATGAGTATAGATGGCTTTTTCAAAGAATTGCAATAAGTGATAACTAGTAGGAACACTAGGATCTCGTGAAAATATTTTTAACTAATAGAAAGACTTTGCTGGGAAAAATAAAAGAGGATGAAATCAAGAGGACATTTGGCCAGGTTGAAAGGGACTTAATAAGCCATCTAGTGCTCTCTGTACCTGAGCAGGAATTATGAGCAAATGGAGTCTAGGACAGGACCCTAAATTTTAGTCCCAGGTGTGTGGGGTATGAGCCAGCTTTTTGTGACTAATTTCCCCCATGTAAAATGAGCTAGTACTTTTTATTCAGTCGTTTTTCAGGTGTGTCCAACTCTTTTTGATCCCATTTGGCATTT